GGTGGTCATTTATTGAATGAAAAGTGTTCTCTTTTACGTGAAACTCCTTCATAGTTAAATAAAAAAACAAGCCATATACACTCGTATTTAAATTACTGAATAACTGGGATTTTTAAAAATATAAACTATGAAGAACCACTATAAGCTATATGGTTGAAACAAGCTAAATCGATTCTTACAAATGATCAGACAAATTTAGCCTCGACATTAACAACAGTCGCTGGCAGTTCCAGGGTCTTTAATTAGTTTTGTCTTAAATGTCTCCCCTTTATATTGTACTGGTTCCGGTTACAACTTCACTGTTTCCTTTTTAGAACACAAAAAAATGTTAATTGAAGTTTATTGATAATTGGTGGTATAAATCTTTTTATTGGTACAAAACAAAATTGTATATTTTAGGCAAATAAACATTTTAGTGAGTATTAATACTAAATACACACATCACAGACATCGCTTTGAAAACCACTTTTTTGGGTTTAAGGGGACCCAAAACCCAAACTTTAAAAAAAAAATTTTGGAACAAAATAATATTTTATAAGTAAATAAAGTAAAATGGAAAGCCTAAAGAAATTAATAATACACATGCTTGAAATGAAATTATTTTAATTACTGTGAATGTAATCTCGTGATTTGTCGTATTTCATAATCGCAGGTTATTTTACTGTTCTTGCCACTTTAAGTTAAAATTTTTTGCTGAATGAACAATACTTCATAATGTACTATTAATGAGTAATGTGTTATTATTATTACATCTTCGTAGGCCTAGTCCTAGTTCCTAGTACATATAGTGTAAGAAAATAGACCTAGTTTATAAAGGGTTAGAACCTTCTAAGAAACTTTTAATGAAAACGTTCTCAAAAACTAAAAATATAAAATGCATGGCATATCAAAAGTTGATGAGTGTTTAATAAACAACCCATTTAAGAACTGATAGCAACATAATATTTTGTTTTCTTACTTTATCGTACAACAGCGTTGCATCTGATTTACAAGACATATAGTTACATACATGTAAATCTTACATTAATGAAAACATAGCCTAAATAAACTATTTAATGAGGTATATTATCAATATGGTACATTTATTGTGGATAAATAAGTATTAAGAATTATTTTGTCTTTTTAACTATTATTACCATTATAAAGCAATCTATTATTGTATCGGGCAAACTACGACTTGAGCTACTATAAGTGGAAATACAAGAAGGATTAAATGAGAATACATGTTTCTGGCAGGTTTGATATCAATACCGACTATTTAATATATCGTTTATGTCTAAATATTTCTTTTGTTTCTCACATTTCTCACATAGTAAGATAAGACTCTGATCTTCTTTTGATTAATCTTTACTGTATACTGTATATATGATTTAACATTACAAACAAATATGTAATGTCAAATTTATTCTTTGCACTATTTAGGTATATAATTAAAAAAGTAAGTGTCTACAAGATTTTAGTATTGTTTTATAAGTTATTATTACAAAAAAAAAAAAAAAAAAAAATGCCAGTAAAGTATTGATATTCCATGTAAAATATTTGCAGCAACGTCAGAAAAACGAGCCCTAAGGTAATGTGCGAATCATTGACTACATCACGTTCTGCCATAACATTGTTGTTGCTTTATGATGCGTTTCGTGGTCAAAATACTGTATCTAAAACTGTAATCAATTCTCCCTTAAACGTGTAGACTATGCAGGATAAACGGTATATAGTTTCTTATCACGCAAATATACATTGTACAATTGTACATGTATGCAGAATCCACATAGGTAAAGCAATGAAGAAATAATCCAAATAAACACTGTAAATATAACAAAAATAAGTAAAAAAAAAGTATTACTAGTGGTTTTTACTAGTGTAGACAGCAATGTGTTTCATAAAGTTATACTCTTGTAAATTACACTAGTAAATACTTGCTATTTTCTAACAACCTCTCTACACACGTATTATTTGAAGTAGACTAGTATTTTTGGAAAGAGAGTTATTTCATTACTCACATCATAAAAAAACGAATTATTAAATTCTTTTTGCAAGTGAGAATTGGCTCATTTTTGCAATTTAAGATAAAAATAGATCTGTGAGTGCTAAAATGATAATTATTAGATATAAATTACAATCAATAAATGTAGCGTAGTACAAAATGAGTGAAATTGAATTTTATAATGTATGTAAAATCGCCCTATTAGAATTTATTATAATTATAAGTGATCAATTTCTGTAAAATGTTAATACCGTATTACATACAAAGATGTACAAAAATGTATCCAACATTGCAACATTAATCACATTCTGATTATTTTACACCCAAGGCTCTCGGTTTTATTTAAAGACATTTCAATAGGAAATAATAGTAAGACAATTTTAAAGAGGAGTTGCATTGTATTTTTTTTAGGTACTTATTATTAGTTTCCCTAAATAGCTGAAACCCTGTTATGTACTAACAATTTTGTAGGCCTATATTTGATTTTTGGGCGTTGGACTGAACTGCTTATCATAAAAATATTACTTTTTATCCATTTTGGTATTCTGTATTTGTTATTCAAAGTAATAAAAAAATTAGATGTTGATTAGAGCTGTTATTTTAATGTAAAATCATGTAAAAGTTTAATTATTGGAATAAAAAGTATATTGTGTGGCGCGGACTTGAACCAGGGACCCAACTCATGTGAAGCGAGAACTCTACCTCTGAGCTACGCCCAGCCACGTTTAAGTGGCTAACAATCAGCAATTGACTCACCTAGTCGAAAAGGCAACTAACTAAAGCTGATTCAGTTTCAGTACTGTTTATTTTGGTTAATACTGTATGTATTAAAGTGGACATTTCACCAGGAAATTCAGGCAAGGCTAAGGAAGAGACATAATACTGTTGTTGTTTTGGAAATAATGTATTTATTACCCTGTTTTCATAATTGTTTATCATATAAAACATACCAATTCCACATAATGAATCATTAACTTACGATTAAATTTAAATAAACATATATTAAGATGTACTATTAGGGATTAGGAAGTCAACGTTGAAGTTACCATTGAACGGATTTTTTAATGTGACTCTCACAACGCTATTGATACAATTTTCCAATGATACAAAAATGTCCATATGGAAAATTTAAGATAAACATTAAATAACCGTATTAACCACACTTGTGAAAAAACATGGTCGAGCAATTATCCTTATGCTACGAAGTAGAAATTATTGATTACAAAACAGATAATTATTCAGAACACATATTTGACTGTTACATTTATAAAACAATGTTTTATTTTTTACAAATGACATTTTAGCTTGAGAATTTAGCTTTCTCTGTGTAGAAATCAATATTTGCACTTTTTATAAACGCACCGAGGTTGGAAAATGAGCACTGGTTTAAGAGACACTTTTTTCCCGTGTTATGAACTATATTTTTGTCACATTTCACTATTATTTTAGCAAACTAAGTTACAAAAGAAAAATACTGATCATGTGATTACTTCTCAAAACGTCTTACAAATTATTTTCAAATTTGCTTATAGAAACAAGCAGCTGTTTAGTTATAGTGATTAAATTATTTCGTCGATTGCGATTTTGTTATTGTATATTATATTATTGATAGGTAGAACCATAGATAAAACATACTCATTATTGACAAGAAGGCCAACAATTGATACATACTTTTGATCCATGTGATACATGTGCTTTCAATAGAAATTTACAAATGAGTATACAACATCCCATTTTTACTCCCTAAGAATAAAAATAGCTGCTTTAGCTTTTGCTGCAGTATGAAAAAATCTTTATAACCAAGTAAAATCCATCCGACTGATAATTTTTTTATATTCATCTTTTGACAGAATAAAATGTTGTGCAAAACAATTTTGTAGTGATGTTGCTGCGTAAAAATACAGTGTAATCTGTGTTTCACTGTTATGCTATGCAAAAACAGATTTTAAACTGTCAGCATCATAGACATTACAAGTGATTCGATATAAAAATATAAAAATGTTTCATAACTATAAAATTATTTTTCTATCGCGTTATCTAAACCATGTACCTTAAATGTTATATTATACCAAAATAAGTATTAAAATATATTTCAATTGAGAGAACATTTTTACCTAATAAACAGTGTATTGTAACTATTTTTGATACATTTTCCGTTGTCTTCAACTTTGAGAATAACTGGTGGGCAAACTATAGCCTAAATCAATCAGCCGTGCCGTTATATAAACCTTGAAATCCAAAAACCAATAAGCACAATTTGTCATGAAAGTCCTGGTCAGATATTTTTACAGTAACAATAATTGTATTACAGCAGTTTACGCAACGATCGCGTAAAGATAGCCTTTAGACTCGAATCGAGCCTTGGCGAGTGCCTTTAAAACTTCTAGTAGTGTCTTGAAGGCCAACTACGTGAGTTGTGGGCAATACTTTTACCTACGGCAGTTTTTTTGTTACTAGTAACTATCACTAATCATAACACCTAAGAAAGGTTGTGTTTTCGTGGATAGCCTCTCATTGCCATTAATAGTGATGCAACGACTCATCATACCAAAAACTCACTTATATTAGCCTATAATCAATTAAATTGGCCTGGTAAAATAATGCTCGAAGCATTACAATTTTAGATAATTTTTTCTTAATCATTGTACCTCATTGGTCCAAACATGTAGCGTTAAGTAACAACACAATACTGTTAAGTAAGTAATCAATACTGTTAAATGAATCTTTTCAATTCAAAGAACTTACTTAAAAAGGCTAGTTTATAAAACGGTCGTAGGTAAAATGTTATAAATCTTCTTATAGTTGTATTTTGTTAACAATAAAAAATCAAATATAGTAGTGTAACCCGTTTTAATATAAACATAAAATAGAGCTACAAATCCTAAATGTAAAAAAATGTTTTCTTTATTTTCCACTGAATGTTTATTGAAACAAACCTAAATCAGTGTAAAATCAATTATACACAATATTTAAGTACAAGGTAAAAAGGGTCCTAAACTTCAACGTCATTCATTGTATACTTTGAAAACATAACAAAATAACATTTATTTGAGCATATAACAATCATAAACAACCGTCTAAGAATGAACACCTAGCATTAAAAATGGTATTTACATATGTACAAAAATATATATACTACACATAACGGACATGATTGTTACAAACTGGGCTATAAACTAGTATTTTGTATTAAAATCTTCGGGACTGTTGGATCTCCAGGAGGACTCTGGTTGCCACCCAGGAGGTAGTCGAGGTCGTGACAAATCCTGTCCATAACATCGGTGTCGACCTCTAAATCATTGAACTCTTCTGATTTTCTTACTGGATCAATGATTTCATCTTCAATAGTGTCTTTTTCCTTCAGCTGAAAACAAGGTAAGTGATTTAATAAACCATGATACCAAGTTCATAAAACATTTTTTTCTCGTTGGCGGTATCTTTTAACCTCATATTTGCCCGTCCTTTTTCAACCACGCTTAGGCATGTGCGTGGGTTGTATCGGTAAAAGCAATAAGTGAGCATATACAGAGAAGTTGATCTGTACTGATATGTAGTGGCAGGTACCAGGATCCAATGTTTTATTTTTATTTCCAAATATTTTATTTTTAAAAGAAATAAAAAAGCATTGCATATTTAAAGTGCTGTAAAAGGTTTTTTTGATAAATAAATGTGTAGGTAGACTGAAATGAGCTATAATCTTCAAAGGTTAGTAAATGTGCAACAATTGGCAGCATTATATTTTTAGTGTCATTGAAAATAATTATGTTTTGGGAGAGATTATAAACTGAAATAAAGCTTGTTCAGATTTTAGGACGCAAATTGTTAGTGAATCGTATTCTTCAAACTTTTCAGTTTAGTTACTAAAATTAATTTGTGATATTAGAAATGTTCTAAAACTTAAATCAGTTAAGTTTTGGTTTGACTGATTCATTATTACGTGTTTCGCGAAATAGTAAACTTTTATCCAATGAAAACTCATACTATTTCCCCCCCAGTAAGATAAATTTGATGTGAAAGTAATAATTAAACCGAGTTTTTTACGGTATTATTATTATTATTATTTGACTGACCAACATAGCTATAAAACGTCAGGTAATTTGTAATTGGTAACATGTAATATACCTTTTACAAAATAATCACTACTAAAATCACCACCCCTTTCAGAGTAAGGCAGTGGCTTACACGCGAGGCGAAAACAACTATCTTGCCCCAAAAAGTAAGTCTTGTGACGAGTAGAAGAAACTTGATACGAGTAGGAGACGAGTAGAAACGATACTGCATCATACTTTGCATCACTCTGAAAATAGCTACACAATGCTCTACGGTTATAAAAATTATAATATTTCATCAAAAAGTGTTAATTCAGTGTTCTCTTTCCAACGTTAAAATATATAGATTTATCGTAGTAACATAATACATACATTAGTGCATCTGATGGGCTTAACGAGAACTGTGTTTGTTTAGGACAGACATTGATTGGAATAGGAAAAGTTGTTTTTAGGATTGACAAACTCATTTTGATTGATATTGACTATTTGACTCATATTAACTATTGATTTAAAAAGTGTTAATTTAAGGCAATGCTATTGTGCATTGATATCACAACATTGTAAGTATTTTGTATTAAGACCTGACTATACCGAACGTGTCAGGACTTTTCCATTCCTTGTACTCGAACTCTCTCTACTTCACGTTGGTAATCCCAGTTTTGGAGTTTACTGCTGCTGTTTGGTCACCTCATTAATTTGTTACTTCTTTCATTTCTAGGAAGTGCATAAAATATTCCTGTGGCTAATAAAATTAAAAACGAGGACAACGTTTTCGGAATGGGACCCCTTGATTTCTAACTTCTATCACTCACCTGTGGTGGACTTCCTGTGGTGGATGGCGCTTCCCCGGAGCTGACAATACTCTTGTTCATCACACTGCAAGGCTCCACGTCCACACTACACACTACCACACTAGCTGTGTCCACTACCACACTGGTGATCACACACACACGTGTAGTCCCTGGCTCAGCCGGACATGGCTTCTCTGACAACGTCCGACGAGGACTCCCTAGCTGTGACGTTATCTTCGCTGTTATCTCTTGGTCTACAGGTCCCGTCGAGAAAATATCTACTCCATTCTCACTCCGAAATACCTTCTCACTCACTAAAAAGAAACATATAGTTGTAACATATATTTGTAACAGCTGAACAACCTATTGTGTAACATATAGTTGTCATTGCCTTATTCGTCATATAAGATTTTTTACTTAAATTTTGAGGTAACATCTTACAAGTAACCACTTATCATGACTTTTAACACATAAACGTTAGCTATATAAGCTATTCAAACATTAAAGAAACTTACTTTTTCTATTTTTTTAGCCTTTATGTGTGGGCACGTGATTTATCGTGCTTAGACTAATATATTTCCTGAATTTTGGAACACAAACAGTTCTTTTCTATATTAGTTTTCAAGACAATTTATTGAATGTTAAAGGTAAAATTGTAATTTACTTTAAAATTCTCTTGTGCATTTATCATTTGGAAAAGAAAACAACTTTCGCAGGTTTTTATACATATCTTTTCTGAAAGAGAAAAAAGTAAAGTAAAATAGTCAAATTTCTCCATGTCTCGTATGACTTTCGTATTCCTATTGTATTGTGTAATGTTTTTACATCATCCAAAAGAGAAACAATTTGAAACTTTTAGTATTTAAACCTCGATATGATGTTTAGGGCATTGTAATAACAAACAAAATGTGAGATATTATTATCCAACAAGAGTAATTGACTAACTTGTTTTGTAACTAACCTGTAGGAAGCTCAATTTTTGTTGTGCTCCCTTTAAATGTATTGAATTCTTCTTTATCTTCAAACCTCCTATACGATCCCGTGGGGGACGTTTTGAAAAAGTCGCCTTTTTTGTTGGAGTTGTTCTTATCTGTTGAAGGCGGCGCTCCTTCGCACTCTACTTCTGCTTCTTGCTTTGTAAATACTAAAACAAGAAAAGCCCACATTACGTAATATACGTTACACGCACAGAACATATCCATCTTAAAATTTTAATTCGTTTTGACGGTTGTCTTTACTGTTATATATTTTCTGATTAAAAATAGCCTTTACAATAACTATATAAGATAATCTTTCCTTAATAAAAAAATCGTCATTTTCGTAACCGATTATACCCTTAAAGCAATACCAAACCATATTATTAATTCCATTTACCTTTGATTCAAGTTTTCAATCACGGGTTTAAATTGTAAGAATTTAAGTTAAGTTTCAAACAAAGTTATAGATAATAATATATATCCTTTACTAGAGGTTGTATTTTTTTGACAGGGAAAAATATCAATTAGTTTGAATTTGATCTATGCCATACCTTTCTGTACACAACAGCACTATATTCCAGAAATGGATTTCAAGCCACAGTACAGGATAATAAGTACAAACATTTTACTAAAATGCACAGATTATAAATAAACGCCTTTGTTAAAATAAAATGTTAGGCTATCTGCAAACATTGTTGAAATCGACCTGTAACTATTTTTTTTATCAAATCCATAAGCTCTCTCGATCTAAACATAAAACTTTTATAAAATCTGAAGAACGGTAGTTTTTATCTTCTGACCGAGTAAATTTGTGTGAAACTAGGTTAGGCTAGACCAAATTGATAGTCAAAATTATTCCTGTAACGTTATCCCTGAACTGCCATACAAAGTAATTCCAGAGTATTGTAAATTTAAAATAAGTTTAACTTTTGCCTAATAAAGAAATAAAATTAATGGAAAATGAGGAAACCACTTAGATCTGACACATTCCAAAATGGAGACAAAATGTAAAAGGCCTAAACAGACCCAGAGCATAAGAAAAACGTGTATTGGTCCTCAAATTAGTTGCATAGACTTTTAAATTTAAATCATACTTTTGAAGTGAAAATTGTGGTAAGCATCTTTTTATATTCAAGATTTCAATGTCTACTGAATAGACATTTTTTGGACGCTTTATTGTAGGAAGCTTTTATTTTATGTTATACAAGACAGCCTCAGCCCTTCAACATTAGGACCAATCAAAATATTTACTTTAGCACTAATATAGTTATGGTAGGGTAAACTGTTACTGACTGCTGAGTGGACTGCTATCAGAATCCGAGCTGAATACTGGGTTCTCGGCGTGCTGCAGCTTCACGTGTACATGTAAATGGGACTCCCCGTGCAGCACGTAGCATACCAGCAGCAGAAAACCCTGCGAAACATCGATCGATTATGAACAATAATCAATATGTTAAAAGATATTGAAGTAATCAACGTGTTGTATACCTGAAACAATATTTCAAGAAACATATGTGTTTTCCTGGTTTGTTAGTTGATAGTATGAAAGTATTCATGTACGTAACATTGCATTTATTTTATTTAAATATTAGGATCTACCGTAAATTTATAGTGTCAATTAGATTATTACCAGTAAGGCACATGATAGACAAAACAAATACTGAGTCTTAAGAGACGGGTAGTTCACGTAGACCACGCTAGACGCTGCCATCGCTGCTGTCGCACTGAACATTACACCAGCGCGACGCAACAACCCAAGTCTGGAACAAACAGAGAGGTTGATCATTTTATAGTTTACTCAATTTAACTTATTTAAATCACTATCGTTTGTTTAAATAAATACTTGATGCCAACACAAGATTCTCTAACTTCCCAATAATTTGACAATAGTTCCATTGACACAACAATGGCTTGCTGTACTTTCTAGATAATACTACGGGCTTAATAAATATAACGAACCTGCAGAAAGATTAACCAGATAACGGATGAAAAGATTGCGAGGAAAACAAGAAGACTATTGATAATTTAATTAGGAATTAAATCCAACAGAATAATCTAACTGGTTATGGTTACTTTACAGAGAAAATACTGATGGCCATATATTCTATTTCAATACAATTTCAACAAACATATTAAAGGGTAAGCAGACTATTTTGTACCTTCTTTGAACTGCCTTCCTTGTATCCTCACTCTTCAAAGATAACAATGACCTCAACCGTCTGTTGACATGGAAGAGTATGAAAATGAAGAGAACTATAAGCAGAAGCACAGTGAACACGCAGGAGTAAAATATCACAGTTCCTCTGACCAACCACCAAGAGTTCTCTCTCCTGTTCATTGAGATCTGTGAGATGTGGTTGCAAAGGACAACAAGTAGAGGCACCCCTGGAATAAGAACATCATTTAGTTACGCTTATTACATTAAATATACATTCAAGGGCTGGCAATAGCCATTTTGTTACATTAAAGAAAAACATTGTCGAGTGAAACTCTCATAGAAAGCTTACATTAGCTTAAGAATTGAGATCGTAATCAAATTTCCAATTAATTGATTAATTAAGCTATCAGTATTATGTAATTAGTATACAGTATTGTTTTTATTAAACAGATCTATACAATCGTCAGTGTTAATTATTATATGTAGCTAATAAACTATCTATATAAAGTTACTTCTGCAAAAGATAAGCGTCAAGGCAGCCAGTGCAACTCCGAGGATCGTGGACCAGATCGGAAAACCCCCACCACCGCTCCGTGCCGATGGCGTGACGTCAACCATTACCGCAACGATACGGAGCTAAGATAAGAGCCTTGGTGGTGTAGTGGATAGCGTATCGGGCTGATAATCGAAAGGTGCCGGGTTCGAATCCCGCTGAAAGCTTTAACCTTTTTGTCAACATTTTTTTCTTATCAGGAGGTTTGGTTAGGTTATTACCGTTTAATTTTATAATAAAAAAAAATATATAATTGAATTTGAGACATTTTTAGTTTAATTTTTAGAACAAAATTATTTTCTTTGATTATTAAACCTTCATTCGAGTTTTTCATTATCAGCAAGTTTAGTTAGGTTATGACAGTTTAATTATTTTAAATTCAAATTTAACCCACGAACGATACGTTTTGACAGCGACAGTGATAGAAATAAAAATTTTCCGCGAACAGTTAGGCTATGCTGATGCGCCTGTATGATTCGGAAGCGTACGACATGGTGCGGTGGTGGGGGGTGTTCTGATACACGATCCTCGGAGTTTCACTGGCTCCCTAGACGCTTCTCTGCAAAAGTTTTCTTCACTGGGTTAAGCAAATCGTAAAGGAACTGTGATTTGTTCAATGTAGAGAAAGAACGAAATAAAAACTGATGGTTTACGAGGTGGACATCAAAGCAAAAATGACCAAGGAAAGCGGAAGGATCATACGTGATTACACTTTATCCACAACGTTGTCAATAACTGTTAGTCTTTGACTTTGGCAACTCAACTGTTGTGGCTTTAGATGGTATTTGGATGGATTCGTTGGCTTCAAACCGATTTTGTAAAAGCCAATGCGAGTTAAAGACATTTTTATCACAGTTAGTAAGTGTTTTATATGTCATGAGCGATATTTGTATCTAATCGCTATCACTTACACACAATTTAAACTTAAATGGTATTGTATTAAATGAAATATATCTAAGAGTGAATTAATTTTACAATTAATTGCAAAGAGTTTTGGAATGAACATGTAAGAATTAAGTAAATACTCACCAGACATGATGAATATTATTGTTTGTTTCAAATTCTTTACGTTTGGGAGGTAAATGACTTCAGTGTAGACGAGAAGTACTTTGCTAAGATGACTGGACAAGCTAATTAGAATAATGGCTTGAAGAGACGTAGAAACTGGTGGATATAAATCCTGAAAACATCGGAAGAGTTATATAGACTTTATATTATTACCCTGTGTACTTGCGTTGAACTTGAACATTAAATCCTACCATTAATCTGAACAATAGATCAGTGTGCCACAGTTGTGTATAAAACTATTTAACCATACGAGTGTTTATTTAATACATCATATTAATTATTGAAATAGCAAAATATAATATCAAAGCCATCAAGTATAAACAAACAAAAATGTCTGACTAAATCGTGGCTATTGCAATGGTGTGTAGTGTTGAGTGCATCTCCTTTCAGTCCTTGGATTACTGAAATTTACTATTCAAAAGAATTAAATATGCTGATGAATTGTAGTAATTTTTTCACCTTTTCCCTTTTAACTATACTAATTTTAATTCTGAGTTACAAACCAATGCTTATAATACTTACTTACACCCACTAGTAACATATTTTTTTTCAAACTGCTAAGAATGGCACATACTATCTTAGTATGACATATGCGATGAACACGCGAAAAAAACTAAATTTAATAAAGTCGCAAAGCACAAACACAAAATACGACAAGTAAAATAACTATTTCGGAGTTAGTAGTTAATCTCAAAATGTTTTACAGTTTAAATCCCATTACCTGGGGCAGAGATCTGCTACAAGCGTAGAGAAAAACGACCATAGATGCCAAGATGGAAGCACTACACTGAAGCTTGAGAAACATTAGACAAGTCCTATGTCGCCGCCATCTCACCACCAGGAGCGCTAGTGTCAGTAGGGACTGGACTAGACAACATGCACATCCAAGCAACACGACACGAGGAGTGGTCTTACGTTGTGAATGGTCTTTCTAGATTAGAACAAAAACAATAGAGCATGTATGAGTTAGTTTTATTCCAGATTTTATTAATAATTTGAAATATAATCTCAAACAATTTCTACACATGTTTAATGCAAAATAACATGTTTGGATCATTAATTAATTTATAATTATTTGTTTCTAAACCTTCTTTGGTAGATTTCTAAATAATTAGATTTATGAAGCTATTATTGTAATCAATTTGTTTATGCCTCTAGAATACCTGCAATCAGTAGCCAGTGAAAGTTAATGCACAAAATATCATATCATTATTTTATTTCATAAAAGTGAGGAGTTTTTTTTCAAACACTTTGAATCAACCACGTGACGGATTTTCGTACATCTTTTGTCAAAAGAAAGATAAGTTTGCGAGGAACGGGATGTCAAAATTATAATTTGAAGTTTGGGTATCCGTTTTCTTCAGAAATTGACATTTTATTTTCACAAAAAATTTGCAACGATTACGTTTTTAGTTTGTTTCAGTGCCATTACATATTTAACATACTCCCTCATGGCGCAATATAATTTCGCTAAACGGATCGCTGGTTTTATTTATGCAATCTGTCAATGGCATTTTTAAGTTTTTTCTAGTTTACAGCTTATTGATCATTTACTAAATTTTTTTATGATCGTACGCAAGTTCGAAATCATGTACCAATCGGTACCAACCGTTCGGTACTACACTATGACTTTGTAATGACCATAAATAAAATACAAAAGATAAATTATTTATTTATTTTACATACCATCAGACAAACTCCATTTTTAACTAACTTCCATTTTTTAACTCCATTATTTCACTATTATCTAATAATATAATGTGTACGGTAGGCCTACATGCTGCACCGTTGTTTATAATAGAAATAATTTTGGTACAGCGTTATGACTTGAAGTTGACGTGGGTTATATTTTAACTATTTTATTTAACTTATCTATGAAATCATAATAAGATGCTAGCAATATAGTTAGTCAGAAAAAAAAAACAAAAAAAAAACAATAATTTTGGAAAAGAGACGAAAAAAGCAATAAAACTAAAATAATATGAGCTTCTTTCCCATTGCAAGCATTTAATTTAAAGCAAAATCCTCAGCCAACATCGATTAAATCTTTTGAAACCCACTCTTGTGAAGGAGTTATTTAAAGTGCTTTAGAAGTCAAATAGATCTCCCGCCACAAAGTGTTCATCGCATGGTTGAACTGCGGAGTTTTCAGTGCACGGATGGAGTAGGGCCACTTAACGAGATACAAAAATGTAGCTTTGACCTTTCAAGAATATAACGTGTCGTATAATTTTTAACAGCTCTTCCCGTAGTATGTCTCTTAGTTAAATATATTCGTATATTGTTTTAAATATTATCAGAGTAGTCGATATGAAAAGTTCGTGAGAACGTTAAAGTACTTGATTATGCTAACTAATATTCAGAACGCCACTAGCTTGATTGTCTTGGGATTGGTGACCACAGTATAGGAAATGAAACAGTTATTTAAAGCTTTGATTATTACCCTGTTAAGAATAGCATAGCTATAACATTATACAGGGTTAGTAAAAAGTGTGGAGACCCCCTGTTATTTTTTTAACGACCCATACTAGAAAAAATAAACTCGGCACACCTTTATGGCATGTTATGAAGTACTTTTTGGGCATAACCGTCACTTGGTGTACATCCCCAAAATGGGGGAGTTTGGGGGAAACTAATAAATTTCAAATACAAAGACCTATCGAGTAACCCCTCATTTTGAAGTTCCTGGTAAAAGAAAACCAAAAACGCAAACTAGAGGTCTTTATCTCAATCTAGTAAAAAATGGCAGCCAATTGAAATTCTCAGAAGTTGAATTTAACTTGCAGCTTTCCAAGTCTGGAAACCCCCTGTAAATTTTGTAGCGGCTCACACTAGGAAAACTAAACTCTACACACCTTTTTGGCATGTTATGAAGTACTTTTTAAGCCTAATACCCACTTGCTTACTAAACCCAAAATGGGGGATTTTGGGGGAAACTTAAAAGTTTTAAATGATAAGCCCCATCAAGTGACCCCTCATTTTTAAGGTCCTGGTAAAAGAAAACTAACAACGCAAACTAGAGGTTTCTATCTCAATCCAGTAAAAAATGGAAGCTGATTGAAATCTTTAGAAATCGGAAATAACTTGCAATTGTATATTCATTTGGCTGCCATATTTTACTGTGTTAAGATAGAGACCTATAGTTAACGTTGTTAGTTTTATTTTATTATGACCTTCAAAATGAGGGGTCACTCGATGGGGCTTATCATTTAAAATTTTTGAGTTTCCCCCAAAATCCCCCATTTTGGGTTTGGGAACTTATGAGAATTTCAATTGGCTCCCATTTTGTACTGAACTGAGATAGAGACCTCTAGTTTGCGTTGTTGGTTTTCCTTTACCAGGACCTTCAAAATGAGAGGTCACTCGATGGGTCTTTGTATTTGAAATTTTTTAGTGTCCCCCAAAATCCCCCATTTTGGGGATTAACACCAAGTGGTGGTTATGCCCAAAAAGTACTTCATAACATGCCATAATGGTGTGCCGAGTTTAGTTTTTCTAGTATGGGCCGTTAAAAAAATAACAGGGGGTCTCCACACTTTTTACTAACCCTGTATATAGAGATAATATGAAGTGCCTTATACTCAAGACTGAGAAAGCAGTAGAGTATTGTTACAATTTTGTCTTTGCGCCATACACATTTGACCTTTTTAATTTTTTTCCTGAATATTTTGACACAATCTATCTATGATATTATGTGCTGAAGATTTATCTACTACCTACCACAAAGTTCTAGTAAATAATTTAGTAATTATGGCTGTTTTCTGTGTTTCCAATGCCGTATGGAAATTTTAGTTTGATAATAAACCATTGTTAAAAACCAATGCATGTTTTAAATGATAAAAGATCTATGCTTCATTATAGGCTAATGTATGTATTTTAATAGAATGTCTGTTCAATTAATTTCGTATTGTTTAGGTTGCCGCGACACGAATACTCAAACATTGATGGTAATTACGACATAAGGTTACCTGTGAGAAATGGGTATGGTATGTTTCTTAGAGTATAAGACTTTTCTTTAATTTCCTTAGATCTTTTACTATCAGTACTAAATTTTACATTAGAATATTAGCTAAAAGCTAGTTTAACCTCACGGTCACAGGCACTCACGTGGTGTATGACCTTGACCAGAAGTGCAGCGAATGTACTGGGTCCGTCACACAGGCACAGTGTTCTGTTTGCTCCCAGGGGTGTCACTTGACAAGTAGTGAGGTTCCAGAGGATGCTGGGTGCGGCGGAGGTGCCACAGTAGAGGTCCCAGCCAGGGCGAGAGACCACCGCCAGTTCTAAAGACACCGAGACTACTAGAGGTCCTCTTGACACCACAGTCACTAGTTCTGAGACTACCTCGTACTGTACCTCCACGCCACTCCTAGAACAAGCATTCGCATTAAAAATACTCTTATAAGGATGTTACAGCAATATATAAAGAGTTAAATTGGTGTCGTCTTAGGCCAGATTGTAGGACATGGAGTGCTGAACAAGGGGTGCGGCTTTTAAAAACATTTTTTAATTTTATTGATAAAATTGTAACAGAAGACTTTGAGTAAATTAATGATGTTTTTAAATTCCTAATAATGTCTGGGCGTATTGTAACTCATTATAAATTTCACTATTTACAGCCATTACCAAAGTAAGGGGTATAACTATTCTGTTACAGAATACATAACAACGCCAACGAGGATAAAATGAACAATAACATTTGCTCAAAAAGGTGACTTGCATAGATATTGAGAGACTAAGATATAATGATAAAGTTAGACGTAGTTGGTACATAACACGAATATTTTATATTTGTATTTATATTTAAAAAATATGTGCTCAAAGCTTACTAATGGCAGTATAGAGAAGTTAATCAATCCTGCGTTGGACAATCATGAGAGATAATGTAACGTGTTAGGCAGCTCTAATATCTTATTAACTAATAATTTGAGCATATAAAAATAACATTTAACAACAATACAATACTCATATTATTTGCTTAACAAGTATTATACTTACTCTAAAGTTTGTGAATAACGCTGCGGTAGGAAGTCTGATAACCTGTTGTACACAACAACTCCTAGACTAGTAGTCATGTTCGTGTAGACTCTATTGCTACCAATGTCAAAGACTACCCTGGAGCTGAACCATGGTGGATAGCTGTAACAATTAGTAGAAAATCGTATAGTAAATTGTTATTTTACTGTTTTATTTATCACGAGATCCTCGATAACTTAAAATTAAATAAGACTAAACTTTGCTGAAATATTTCTTTAAATAAATGCAGTGAATTTTTTAGCGTTATATAATGCAATCATCGCCTGAATCCTCACCGTTCAATAACTGGAGATATGATTTATATTCTCTGTTGGATTTGTATTATATAACGAGCATTGATAGTGAATCTATTTTATTTAGCCAACAGTTAGGTATACTACCTACATTGCAACAAAATATAATTGTACAAATCCTTAAGTACTTTCACCTTATCTCTTAAACACAAACAAATATTTCAGTAAATGTGTAGATTTACCTATGATAGTTTTTTTTTTTTCTATGGATTTGTAAAAGTATAAAACGTTTAACAATAACAAACCCAACACAAGGCATGATTGACACCTAATAAATGAGTATAATTTTACCAATAAGCATAAATCTTACTTCACATCTAAGAATCACTTGAAACGCCTACGTAACTCAAAGAAACCAACCCTATTGCACTTCGTCTCGCTAGCACGTGAATCACCCCCTTTACACTCAACTGTAATAAAATTAATGTAGGACTGGCTGTCCCTTTCAGATAGTTTAATGATCATGATAACTACTACAGGATATTGATCCCTAATAAGTTAATTTAAAACCAAATTTCTCACAAAGATTGGAATAAAATCAAATTAAAATGTAAAGTGATGTTAAATGTCCCCATATTAATAAATAAACTGCATTACCTGTAAGTAGGTCTAGGAATCCTAATTGTAAAATCGTGGCGGAAGGATGGTTCTTCAAACCGGAACAAGTCCACGACGAGACTGTCAAAGGCAAGGTGACCACTTCCGGTTCCTGCTTGGGCTCCCCACATCCCCGTCCAGGCCGACACTACGCCAACAAGCTCTTCTACCTTCTACAAAACGGGAGGTAAATAACTGCAATATACTTATTACTGTATAATCTTAATAAATCGTTAACGCATGTGGTTAGTTTATTATGCTTATACCCTATAATGAGATAACATTAAATATTATAAAATAATATAGAATGTCAATTACATAAATTTAGCTACCCCCACCTCGACAATCCTGCAGGCAAAGCGTATTTCCATTCGCCTGATTGGATTCTCGCTTAAATATTTTCGTAAACATGTCAAATCTATTCCATATTTTAAAAAGAATAAGGTTTGACAACTATTTAGGTTTGCTGCTAGAGGATGAGGAATAATATGTGCTTTTTTTGTTAAATGTTAATAAATTAGTATAAAATAAATAGGTTGGCAAGGTTTTATCAAATAATATCCTATAGTCATGCAAACCACACAAGTTTATTTATTCTACCAAAGAATACTATAGGAATATAAAATGAATTGTTTTCCTCCGCAACCAATTTTTTTTTCAAAAACACTTAAAAAAAACTTAGTTATTTGTTTTTAACTCTTCAAAATAGTTGGAAAAAAACTGGGAAATTCTATGTTTGAAGATCCAAAAATTAGAAACCTCCTATGGGGACCATGAAACTCCGTTCCTATGGTCTGATCACTAATCATGCTGGTTCTCGAACTCGGTCAAATAATCGAAGTTTACATGCTTTTACTAAATCTAATCAAAATTTGATTTTATTATCTCGATATATCTTGCTAACAGACACAAACACAAACAGAGTTAATTGAATATATATGAGCCATGAATTTGAACGGATTGTGTTTGGACTGTAGGGACATCAAAACTAAAAGATTTAATCGGTCCCGGATCCAGGTCTCACCACGAGACCTACGGTAATATCGTATTTCCCAAATAGGGAATTCGCAAAAATGGCGAGACATGATAGTGTCAATTATGTTACGACATAATGTTACGTTTAGGAATATAACATTTATAAAAGTTGAACATATTTTTGGCCATTTTCGTCTATTAAGGTCGTCATGACGGTTATCTTTATGTGATGAGATGTTAGTTATAATGTAACACTGGTTGAGACTAAGCATTTCGTGTTTTTCAATTTACCATTCAAGGATGAAACTAAACTGTCTCATGAATATAAACAACTGTACAACTGCGTTGAAATATCAGATAATTATTTGCCTTGCATTAATCCAAACCAGTGTTTAATATCTGTGTTGACTTTTCATTTTCGTAATGGAACGTAATCATAGTTTACTATTGTTATTAAACTAGTATTTATTTGGAACTCTATTCCAACGCTACAATGTTATTCGATCCTAAAGCTGTTGTTATATCCTAAATAAATATATTAATTTAACTAATTAATTATTATCGATCTAATAAAACAACAAACTTGATAATATAAGTTCAGCTGTTATGTCGTAACACGAAGGCACATTACGATAAATTACAAATAAACGAGGTGTATACGATATATTTTCAAATTTTCAATTTTTCATCAAAGATCTTGTGTACGTATAAATATAAGTAAATGGAGTCAAAGCTTATGCAGTTTTCAATATGGTGTTCTTCATTCAAAAGCTTGGATCAAAAGAGTGGACCCTAATGTACAAAGTATTGGTCATTTTCAAGTGTTTTTGTACAGTTGATATCCACGGAGACAATTGAAAATTGTACACTAAAAACTCCCATGTTCGTGTTAAGGAGAATAAGTTAGTTGTTGTAGTTTGCTCTTCTATACACATATTTTTATCACATTTGGCAAATTGGTTTATTTTATCCTAAGGAATTTACATTTCCCTAAATTTTTCTTTCATAAATCAGCCAAAGTTCTCGTTAAACCTAATTCTATTAGAATAGGAAATAAATCTGTCATGTGTAATTGAAAATCCAAAGATTACTGTTCAGGTTTGCTGCGGCGAAGGTGTTTTAAAATCAAGCAGACGATCTTCAGAAGTGGATGACTATACAGGATGGCTGAAAAGTAACTAATACCCCCCTTAACTTTTCAACCATTTGAGATATTTGAAATCGGTTTGCGGCAACCCTGTTAGATATGAAGGGCTAAAATAATTATGGTAAAGTTTGCAAATTTTTCCCTTAGGGGTAGCGGGGGTTTGCTTAATGATTTCAAAAAGCAAGTATAGCCAAGTTTGGTATCATTTTGCAGGTCTTGATGAAACATAACAATTAACATAAAGAAAAAATAGAAATCGGACTATTAACAACAAAATGACAGCTAAAAATGATTAAGACAATGGTTATTAAAAGTAATTTCGAACTGCCATTTTGTTATTAATGCTCCGATTTCTGTTTTCTTTATGTTAACTGTTATGTTTAATCAAGATCTGTAAAATGATACTAAACTCGACTATACTTGTCGTTTGAAAATTTTGAGCTACCCCCTACCCTCACTGCCCCAATGGGCAAAATTTTCAAAACCGACCATAATTATTTTAGCCCTTTATATCTAAGAAGATTGCCGAAAAAAGATTTCAAGTATTTCAAATGGTTGAAAAGTTAAGGGGGTGTGTAAGTTACTTTTCAGCCACCCTGTATAGTATGTTCTTGTACGGTCTGGAGATAGCCCCAACTCGGGTGCTAAAACTAGTTGCTGTAGGAAATTTTCAATTAATATTACAAAAGCGATTATTTACACGACGAACGATTGATTACGAATAATTGACAATCTAGAGGCTGTAACACCAACATGAAATATCAATATAATTAATTATAAACTGTGTACTATGATTACCGAAATAATCATAACTACGCTAATTTCCTATTGTTATTTTAAGTATCGCTGCACTTTTTATTATTGTAGGTTGTTCATTATAGCTTGTTAATTATGCTACACATGATGTGAGGCCTGGCTACAACATGGTTAGCAAAGTTTTTGATTGATGGCTGCTCATCTCGAGCCATGTCCACTAACGGATATTGAAACGATAACCCAATCTTCTCCATTTGAGAAAGTTAATAAGCAGTAAACTTAGACAACGGAATATTTTTTACTCTTAGTATTGTACCTTTAGTTTAAAACAAAGGATTGACACATGACATTGGTTTATTCATTACCTGGTGGTGTATGACTGAGTTCCTATGTTGTAACAACGTGTTGACAGCGCTGTAGAAGTAGTTGGTGGCGTTGGCGAGTTCTGACCAGCTGCCAGTCTTGTTTAGGTAAGACTTTACCCTGTGAAGTAGACCAATAGCAGGCTCTCCCTCCCCCGGATATACAACTCCACGGTCCCTCAGTGACGTCAGCACGCCAAACACCGCGTCCAAGGCAGTTGTGTTTCCGTAGCCCAAGGTAATCTTGTGAAACTGCAAATCAAAAGACATTTCTTAATTGTTATATTGAATTTATGACATTTAACGTTTTAACACTCACATTTAACGTTATGCACGTGAGCGCCCCTACTCACCTGCTTTTTATGTTAGCACATGGACGCAAATGTTCTATGTAGGAACATTGACGGTCGGGCAAATACGGCGTGTAGTAAGTTACTAATGTACATATGTATGTAGGTTACTCGTCGTTCCTGTGTGCTAAGTTTACTAACCGAATTCTAAGGTTTCAAATGAATAGAAACTAATAGTAGTATACTCCCTTTTATTGCACAGCCACATATGTAAGTTATTGTGATCTGTATCTTATCAAAACGTATACAAATTTTCATTTGTATGCCTAATATGATGACAATAAGAGATTGATTAACGAATTAGGAACCTGTGATTAATCATTCTTTCCTAAGTAATGTTAAATTCTTATATCCCAAACTACCAAGTATTAATAAGAATTCATTAAGTTAAAGCTATTCAATAAAAAAACTATTCAATAAAAAACATTTAAGTCATTGCTATTTCAAAACTGTACTGTTTAGCCGGTACTATCATTTATTTTATAATGATATGGGGATAAACTTACAATATCTAAGGGACACAGAGAAGAAAATGTCACAAAATATTAATTTTTTTAGCTTGCAGACTAACGGTAACTCACGTTATTGGAAACTGATATGATCTTGTCGGACACGCAGTCTGAGAAGTCTGGAGTCTGCCAGCGCACTTGGCGGTTCTCTACTAGCAGACACAGTCTCGTAGCAATGCCCTGGTAGTGTACAGGGCAGTCTACTCTGGCCACTACCCCCGGCCCGGCCTGCTCCCATCGGATACCACCTACCTGTCATAGGTACAATCTGATAGTGCCTTCATTGTTTGCAACAATGAAAAATTAATTCAATTATCAAAATGTTGTGAGATTATCTGTGTAGCCTTGTTATTAACTAAGATCAGCTGTTTCATCAGTCAGGATCATTTATTTAATGTCCAATGATCAGAGACAGCTGGAGTTTCAAACCATCAAAAAGCTACTACCTTTCTCAGGATCATACTGGCAAACTTTTGATTGTTTGGTTGACTTTAACCACTCTGCTGCCCATCAAAACAATATTTGTATAACAAGCTATTTAGGGTTGTGATGTTTTGAGCTCGAACAAACTGTGAGCTTTACAAAACAAGAAAGTTTGCTGAAAATGAAAAAAGTTCCAAATATTGTACTTCTTTAGGATAGAACTTATGCTTTTTCTTAGCCATTATATTAAAATTATATTAAATTTTGTAATAAGTCTAGGTCCAAAATATTTTGGTGGTTTGGGGAGAAGCTCCCCACCACTTGTTTTGTATTTAATGTATGATGCTTACCCAGCTGTTGAGCTATTATTTTAATGGTAAGGGTCAAGTGGAGGGGATATATTTCTTGCTTTAAAACCACATAAATATTGTGTACGATGTATTGTTAAAAGACCAGTTGGTAGTAAGTTTAAGAAAATTGTCATCAATAAACACAATATAATATTATTATAATTTCCACAATAATAATTATAATTTGTGTAACATTTTTCAGCCCGTGAGTAATGGCTATGTTGGTAAAACTACTAATTTACAACCAAAATACTTAGTCACTGGTTATCCAAACATGTTTGGTAATTATTTAAAGTCAAACCATTTTTTCCTTTATTGTGCTATTAATCAACCTAGCATATTATAAGCAAAGTGAGGATAGTTAGAAGCAATTGTGTGCGTCATGAAATGTAATATAGTTCAACACTTAAACGCTACTTAAGTGCTACTTTTAAACGTTAATATTACGGGAAGGGCCCACACCGTAGTTTCGTTGCCATCTAACATTATCCTAAATTACTGTATCAAATGTTTTTTTGGTATTCATGTTGTATGTGATTTTTATGATGAAGCAATCATTGCTTTCTTGGACAGTTGACTATTGCAATAGGAGTGTTTGGTTATTCTAGTAGCCTACCCCGGTTTCGTCCTCTGGACACCATGGCGCCACTGTCTGATTGAGCACCTCCAGCCTCATACTGCGAGGCACGGAGCGTACACTGCCATGGACGTGGCACGAGTATGTGGCCGACTTCTACAGAGACAGAGAGAGGGTTAGGTTATACATTGTCATAGATTTTAGCAACGATTGTATAAAACAATTGAAAGTAGTAGTAAAGTCGATTTTCCCACTATGAAACCTAAAGTAAAACTTAGACGTTTTAATTAATTTTTCACTAAGATGGATTGATATCACTCACTAAATGTTTCATGCTTATTTACTTATCTTGTTTTGGTCTACAGCAAGTAAAACAAGTTAGCCTGTCCGTATTTTTAAGACTTTACAAAATATTATGGTAGAAACTAGGGTGAATATGGTTATAAGTTAAATTTTGAATTTATTATTGCAATGGTTAATTTGGTCGTAGCTTAAAGGGAAGAATGGCTTTACTACCTTCATTAATGCAGTTAATTTAAAGTGCTTAAACATTAGTTTTTCCAAACTAATTCAAATACCGGTTGGTCACTTACGATGCAAACTGACATTTTTATTATTTATCTAAACCCTCCTTACCATAAATACTAATGCTTGTACTTTTATTTATTATTAAATATTTGTTAAATATTTTACAATACAAATGTGAGTTTTTTTATTATTTTTAGTTGGATAAATTCAAGGTGTATTAATAGCAATCTATTCATGAAAAACACATGTTTACTTATTTGAATAAACCAGATACAAAGGTATGTTTATTTATTACGTACCTGTACATTGTAAATGCGTAGATAACTACCACCAGGGTACAAGTCTTCCCAAAACTCCTCATTTGGTGTCATTTTAAACAAGGCGTTGTTTTTCGTCCAGCTGTATCCTAACTTGCTTTCAAATTGCAGCTCATTTGGAGCGGTGCATCTAACCGTTACATTTTTACCCTAGAATAAATATAGTTTTGTAATCTACTATACTTTGCTCTGGACTCAAATGCTTACAGTAAGTAAATCATAGCATTGCCTATGCATCATAGACAAAAATCTAATTTTTAAATTGCAAGCATGTACTAAAAAAACATACAATGAGTATTTTTATTATAATTATTTAGTAAAATAAACGGTTTCAAAATGTATGAAACAGTATAGTCTAAATTGTTTGTACATTTAACAATGCCTTAAATTGACACAGAATATCAACTATTGGGTCGGCATGGTGCCAAAACACTCAATAAAGCTAGTGATTTACTGTGATTGGCACGTTTGTAACGATCAAAGTATTCGAGGATCACAGAGTAGTTTAACTGCTATTAGGGTAGCACAACCCCATTTGTAGCGTCCATTTGATTCTCTAGCTCTGAGCTTCAATTACTTCTGTGCTTTACATGCTGTAGGCGTTAAAGATACCAAAAGAACAACAACGGTATTTTGGTGTAGTAAAAAAAAAACGTCAAAGTTTTAATATATGTACTTACTTTCCGTGTCCGGAAATCAGACTTCACTTTTACAAAAACTAGCTACCGATATGGCTTTGTCATTCGCTTGTAAAAGATCATCTAATGTGCAAGACTGGTCTCATTATTACATATATGTAATAACTATCAACCAGGAACTCCGTATTTTGCAACTAAACACAATCGTAATTCCTAACACAACTTTTCCATACATAACATTGAACAACAACTTACTTTTTTAAAATTTTAATTGCAATGTCAATAAACAATGCTTGTAGTAAACCCTAACATTCCAAGGTTGTTCTAAGCTTGTACTAAAAGTAGGTGTTAAGCTGTTGCAGGTACAGGATTTCGGCATGTTAATTTTAAATTATTATCCGTTACCTTCTCCACAGTAATACTCATAGGATCCACCCGGACGTTAGGCTCTTGTAGCACCTCTAGGTTGAGGGAACGACACTGCTGATAGCCCCAATCTATAACTTGACACGTGTATCTACCAGTGTCTAGGGGATCCGCCTCAGCCACGCCCAAGAGAGCTGTGTGCTGCTCTGCTGAGTCCAGTGGCAGTACTCGTACCCACATGTTCCTGGACCACATTAACAGTAGAATCATTGATAAGGATAAAACGTGAAAATGGAACTACTGTACTAGTAAATCTGAGTAAAAATCTGAATGAATTCAAGGATTGTAATAGTAGACCTTAGTCTTAAAATGAAATGCACGGCTTGGTGTAAAATATTGATAATTTATTGCGTCGTATTTAAACGTATTAGCGATTAACATTATGAGCTACGTTCGAAATTAAGTTCTATTTGTACCATTCTTCCCGGTAGTGCTGCAACCACAATTCAGCACATGCGTGGCAGTTACTTTGTGTCAACCGGAATGGAAATCACGCCATTTTGAACTCGCTATTGTTGGTATGCACTTTCGTAGAGCTTGTTTGTAATGTCTGTGTTAAATGAGAACCCAACCGATGGTGAAAATCGATCACTGACTCATTTTCATAATGAGTGACGTTAAAACAGTTGATATTCACCGTAAAGTCTGCGAAATTAATGGAAAAAAATGTGATGAGGGATTTAATGGTTTCAAGAGGGATTCAATATTTCAAAGAAGGGTGAGATGCAATTCATGAGGAGCATGAATCGTTATGACGTGGATGGTGATACATTTGTATCACAGATAGTCATGGAATACGAAACTTGGGTTAACTTATGATACCCATGAAACCAAACGTCAATCAAAGAATGAAGGCACACTACTCCCCAACAAAAATCAACCAAAGGAAATCTTGACACCTCGAAAGATCATGTGCACATTTATCTCAGACAGAGAAGGTATTTGGTAATTGAATTTTTGCTGTGCAAACAATGAATACCTATGTTTATTACGTAACGCTTAGGAACCGCGCCACGCAATACTAAACATACGCCGAAGAATGCTTACGAAAGAAGTGGTTTTCATTCACGACAATGCCCAATATTACTTCGGAAATGTGACAAAGATTCTTCTTTAGTGCTATGGCTGGGACGTGTTGCACCATCTGCTGTACAGCCCCGACTTTGCTAAATGAAATGAAATGAAATTAAATGCTTTATTTCCGTGAACATGACACATGTATGGAAAACGCAAAAAAAAAAACTAAAACTAAGTAAGAGTACTGAGTAAGAGTTCGCTCCGAGTGCTTTTCATTTGTTTATGCATCTTATGTCTTTCCCTGGTGGTCAGCGGTTAAACAGGAATGAATATGCCAAAGAAAATGTTACATCACGGTTAACTACATAGGCGGCATCATAAATCAACAATCTACGCACATTCGGCAACATAGAATCTACTCAATCTTGTACCACGCTATATGACAAATGTCAGATACATCATGGGAGTTACGAAAAAATGATTTTTATCAATTTCTTTGCTGTATCTGTGCTTGTTTTTTTTATTTCAAAACAGAACTTACTTTTCGAACGTACCTCGTACCATTTTAAACAATGATTGAATTACATTAGGCCTTAAACCGTAATACAAAAAAACATTGTATTTACCGCATTGACTTAGTGGAATTTATGTATATTCCGTCTTTGAACCAGTGGAATACGAGGTGGGAAGATCCTTGTGCGACGCAAGTCAAGATGAACTCTTCTCCTTGCCGTATCGTAGCTTTGGAATGATTTATCTGGACACTCTTGAAAAAAAAAAACAGTATAGGTTATATCAAACTGACATTATTTAAGAAATTATAAGATGGCACAGCATGAGAATGTATGTGTTACTTTAAAAATGAAGCTTACTGCTTCAAGTATACAATCATTTCATAACACGACACAAAGAAGCTGTTAAATGGTTTGTAATTCCTCGATGATTCCGATTATTTTATTTACTCCCTAGTTGCTGTTACTTGTACTGCACCTGGAGATGTAGTGAAGGCTCCTGCGTGATGGCAAGGTGTGTGGCGACCAGAGTGACATTTCCAAGTCTTCCCCTCTGGACTAATCTGTTGAAGGAGTCTCTCACCTTGGAGCCTTCGGACTTGCTGCCCCAGAAGTGGAATCGAACCTCTCCGCTGAGTCTGTCGAATGTCAAATTGATTGTCAAACAAACATGCCTCAGATTTGTAACTTTTATGATTAATTTAGCGTCATTGTTTCAACCCTTCACATATTGCTACTACTTTAAATGCAAATTTCTGAATACAGACCAAGGTCTTTTTGGGCACATCCCTGGCGTTATAGACGGGGAGGAGTTGGCATAGCCGATTTCCAACTCCAATATATCAATGAGATTGGGACGAAGGATAAATATTTTAATAAAAGAAATAATTAGGCCTATATTGAAAGTAAATTGTTAAATGACCGTGGTTCTTGTAAGATAAATAAGAAATGAGGTTTGGTTAAATGGTATTTGTAATAGGTTTGTAACCTATACAGGGTGTCTCAGACCACCCGGCCGGCTTGTATAGCTCCAATATGAAAGCAAATGGAAACCTAATTGCAACTGGAACCTCTATTTTGACCCCAAGGAATTCAGCTAAATTATTTTCAACCCCAAAAAAGCACTTCAAAGGGCAGATTTTGGGGAGTGGGGGTGGTTTTTGGGAATTTTTCCAATGTAAAGGGGGGTCGTGTTATACCTCTTTTTAAAGGTCCTTTAGTCCTGAGTATTTTAGTGAAAAAAGATTTAAATTATCTTCATCTTATTTACAGGGTGTTCAAAAACGTACAAAAAATAGACCTTTGAACTACTTTTCACTGTAAAGAGGTGGAATTTCGTGGGGGGTTCAAATTTTGATAACACTTTTAATTTTTTAACATAATTAGTTTTAATTGAGACCTAGACGTGTACATTTACAACAGCAAACACTTTGAATACCAGTTAATAAAACATTAAAATACACTAATTTCGTCATATCTCTTTAACCAATGAAGATACCAAAAAACATTAAATACAAAAATTATAGCAAATTTTAGGGGTTACAATGTGGTTTGTAATGAAACCCATGTTGCCATTTGAAATTTTTGAGATAACAGCTTTTGAAACTTCAAAAAGTTTGAAAATGTGTAACATAAGTAAAAAGATAGCAAAAGGGTTGAAACCAGAGTTTTTTGAAAGCTCATTTAGCAATTAAAGTGTTATCAAAATTTGAACCCCCCACGAAATTCCACCTCTTTACAGTGAAAAGTAGTTCAAAGGTCTATTTTTGGTACGTTTATGAACACCCTGTAAATAGGGATGAAGATAATTTAAATATTTTTCCACTAAAATACTCAGGACTAAAGGACCTTTAAAAAGAGGTATAACACGACTCCCCTTTACATTTGAAAATTTCCCAAAAACCACCCCCAGCCCCCAAAATCTGCCCTTTGGGGCGCTTTTTTGGGGTTGAAAATAATTTAGCTAAATTCCTTGGGGTCAAAATAGGGGGTTCCAGTTGCAATTAGGTTTCCATTTGCTTTCATATTGGAGCTATACAAGCCGTCCGGGTGGTCTGAGACACCCTGTATACATTTAAACAAAAATGATGGTTTAATACAGCCTAGTGCTACTGAAACTCAATGTTTGTACGTAGAGAATAGGCTATGTGTTTTGTAAAATAAATTGAAGTGATAGTGGAGTAATCATATTATTTTGTTTATATAAATAATGTCAATTATAAGACAATAGTAACAAGCTGTTATATCTGCAAGTTTATGTTTTCATATCATCAAAAGTGCTACTTTATAATCAAAATAATAGTATTTATACCATTCTATAACTATTTTTTACAAATACACCAAAAGAATGTTAAGTAAATAGAAAGTTTATCTTATGAACATTTCTTAATACCAAGTAATGTAGGCATATAACTACTTACTAAGTATAATTACTAGTATAAGTTGAACCTACCCAACGTCAATAACTCTAATGTCCTCCATTATTGATAGATTGCTGCTCTTGAGATATTTTGAAATCTAAAACATAACGAAACACATAATACAACTGTCCAAAAGAAACGTATTTAACAATACCCTTAGGTACTATTACTTGATCTTAGGTATTATGAATTCATTTTCATTATATTTTAACATACCAATATGTATTTCCATGTCATTATATAGAACTATTATTATCTAATAAAAAATAGATTGTAAAATAATATAAAAATAATAATATATGGAAACCTTTAAGGCTCACTTTTCCCAATTTGTTTTATTTTAAAATGCACCGAACGGGTTTTTATACTTGAAGCTTTGAATAGCCATTTTCGCATACACTACGCCACATAGTATTGCCTGTTGTTCAACGAAAGAGTTTTAGGGTTTTGTTTCCCCATTTGTATCTGTTAAAACGAGTCTAACTTTAATTTTTTTTATGAGAACCATCATATGGTAAAATCCATTAATTTAATTTTCCTACACTGATATCGTAATTGCAGACGAAAACTAAGCAAACTATTAAGAAGCCTACCTATTTATTTATTTAATTTTTGTAAACCCTAATATAAAGTAATAATGGTTTTGAAACATAGTTTACCTGTTTAGTAAGCGTGGGTTTAAGTTGACACATGACACTCTCAACACAGTATCTTGCTGCAGTTACGTTGGCCAACCGTAAAGTTCCCTCGTATCTTGCCTTGTCTGAAAAATAAAAGTATCTACACATTTTCATTGATTTACAAACTAAAGCCAAACCTTAATAGAGTACAGTTCTGAAAGCTTTCAAGCGTCCAAAGATGAAATTGTTATAGGCCTTTGATGGGGCTCACTTTCATATTTAATATTTACCAATTCTAGAGTGGGTTGTATCCTCTAAACATGGACACCTTTTGTTATTACCACTATGACCATCAATTATTGCTACCTGTGCTACTTAACAAAAAACAATCATTAAAAAGAATATTGATAATTCTATTCCATGCTATACCAATATTTCAATACCAACAGCGTTAAAAAACACGAACTAAAATGCGTGAGTGGAACCGATATTTTATTTTCATCGTCAGCTTTAATTTTATGATGCGAGTGGTGTATACAAGATTTGTTGCTGTAAAGCACCCCTCGGTCAATACATAACACATAAATGCATCCATTGTATATCAAGTTTTAGTTGACTTCGTGGTAAGTTATTGTACACACGTTTAGTTACATCTTAAACGTTGGTTTGTTTAGCCTCTTACCATTATTGAGAGGAAGCCCGCGATGTCCGCAAGCACAAGGCTCAGCTGTGCCATCTTCTGGGCATTGTGTCGTACAGCTTTCATTTTCGGAACAATCTGTGAACGGTAAATATTTTATGAGTAATGTTATATATTAATTTATGAATTTCACCAAATTCTGTAACTTTGTATAGTATTTGACATAGTCAATTAGTTACGTTTTAATATTAGTGTGATGAAATTAATGATTCTAAGATTACAGAAAAATATATTTTAAATACAATGCATACTTTGTAAACTTGTAGCTTAGCATATGAATGGGAACTTCTTGGTTTAATGTAAACATTATTAGCATTTACGTCCAAATTACACAGCTTTTAACTCCCCCTTCAAGGTAATATATTTTGCAAGACTTAAGAAAGATATAAAAGAGTATTATACAGTAATCATATTAAAATTAAATAAAACACTACCTTGGTCAGACATCCGAAGCTCACAGCGCGCTCCTGTATATCCCTCAAGACAGACACAAGTACTTGCTATAGCACCTACTTGTCTGAAATCATGAGCGTCAATTTCATTTGGTGTTGAGTACAAGAAAAACTAAAGGATATCTCTAAGATATTCAAATTAATCGTACTAACAAGGGATATTTTGTTCGTAATTTTGTTAATTTGTTATTATAAATTCTAATAGCCTCTTAGGACATGCGCCCGCTGTCCAAAAAGTTCTACCTTTGAAAAAAAGCTGTCAGGGTCCTCTGCGAAGCCCAGCAGTTTGCGCATTGCAAACCCCTGCTGAAGGAAAACTGTATCATTTATGTAATATAATGTATATATTTATCAGTGTTTGTAGAAAATAAGGCTCAGGAAAACACAATGTCCTGCACAGTATTACACAACCATGCAACCAGGAGCTAGTCTTATGTACATAGACATAGGGTTAGAATATCTTGAATCTTGAGTCTAGCTGATTTCGTCGTACATTCAACAGTTAAGATGGCTAAAAATTTTTCTAAAGACGTGATATACGTTTCCATCTACCGTAAATTTGGTTTCTAAGAATTCAACAAGAATAATCAACAGTCAAATTATAAAAAAACACAATTGATATTCTAAGCCGACGGATTAATAAATAGACACATTTCTTTCAAATGAGTTATATTACCTGCCACATAAGGATGTGGCCATACAAATGAAAAAAATATTCAAACCGTCACGTTTGAGTTACGTTTACCCTGATACATTTACCAACATTACGTTATATCTATCACATTATATTTTAATCATTAAATAAAATTCATGTTAAATTAATACATTTAAGATTCGGAAATAAACGGTAATTTTCAGAAGGAAATTGTAATATAATGTGTTTCCTCACGATAGCTGTGTAAATAATCAGTTAAATTGTTTCTCATTGTTAATAAAATAGTGAAATTATATTTGTTTTTATCTTCAACCACAGTCGCACATGTACTGTAAGGTATACAGTACCTGCATGTAGCCCCATTCTCGCACACATTGCTGGTAGGTTGACACAAGGGGCCTTTACCGCACTCTGGGCCGGAGAACCCACGGAAACACGAGCACCAGTACTCCCTGTAAACATATGGTAAGCATCATCAATTCATTTCTTTGCTATAATCTAAAGAATGCAATGGTTTCTATATGAATCGTTCTCGATTGTTTGAGATCCAAAAGCTGCCCAGATCTTTACTAAAACACCCTTTTAATATTCTTAGCTAGGAGAAATATTGTAGCCTTTTTATAATCGAAATATTAAATAGTCAAATATTTGGCAAAAAAATGTTAATCATCTCGTGCAGTAATACAGAAGTTAGTAATGGATGTAAGTATTTTTATGTTTTAATGATATTGAGAGTGCGACTGATGGTTTTTATGTTTTACGGATTGCATCTACTTGATTGTTACTCTATATTTACCACGAACACGACTCTTCAAAATATAGATTTCAAATATCTGTATAGCAATTTATAAAATATCATTTTCAAAACTGTATTGCATAAACCATCACTAGAGGTACTCTAAAACCATGAATAATTGACGTGCAATGACGTAATAGGCACTCTTTTACATTATACTAGCTGTAACCCGCGGGCTTTGCCCCGTTTAACTTCTTAATTTTCAAGATGATCTCGTTCGCATGGCTCAATCACGTCCTGGTTGAAGTTCGTTCGCTACGCTCACTCACCTTTAGGTTGGAGCTCGTTCGCTACGCTCACTCACCTTTAGGTTTGGAGCTCGTTCTCTGCGCTCACTTGCCTTCAGGTTAGCTCGTTCGCTACGCTCACTTGCCTTCAGGTTAGCTCGTTCACTACGCTAACCCGCCTCCAGGTTGAAGTTCGTTCGCTATGCTCACTCACCTTTTGGTTGCAAATTAGCTGTTGTCATAAATGTAAAAGAAATAATAGTGCTGCACCCTGTTGGTAATCCTTGTAACTTTAATGCTATTGAACATCATAGAACAGAACCAACTTGTTTAATTGAAACAGCTGTTAAGATTCATTAATTCCATTTCTCATAAGGTTAACATGGGAAACTCCAGAGCCACTGGGGCGGAGCCGATTGGACGGATCACGAAATTGATGGTGTATAAACCTACTCGCCTTTGGCTCGCTGGGGGCTCCGCCCCCAGGCCCCCTAGCTGTTAGTCGTCATTAGCGGTGGGATGAAGGGGTGTGAATTAGTAGATAGTAGTTTAGTTGTAACAAAGAGGGTAACAAAGCAGTCAATGAAACAGTTCCCAAGAATTTACATAGATTGGGAAAAGTAGCGAAAATTGGGGGTAAAATTTTGTAAGTACAAATGTGCCACAGGGCGACAGGGTGCAAATTTCAGGATTTTTAGCTAATCTAGAAATTGGTAAACGTGATTTAGACCGATGAATCTGTGGTGGCTATAGGATAGATATAAGGGGGATTTCGAGAGGGGGGGACTTTTTAAATGGTCCTTATTATATTCATACCTTGGTGTTAGCTCTAATACAGTAAACTTTGTATAGTTTTAATAACCTTGTGCATACAGAAAAGGTAAAGAGTCTATTATTACCTCGTGAAACTGGTGAAACCTTTTAAATTTTGATATTCAACTTTTAAGTTTTGGGTGTTAAAGAGTAAAGTTACGAAAAAACATGTATGATTAAAACCGAAATTAAGCCAAGGAAAATACAAAGCATTAATAACATTTGCAAAAAGTGATTATTTAAGTATGTAAAAATAGCGAAAACCAGTAAAAATTTGAAAAATACCAATTTCTGATAGCCGTAAAAAAACGTGTTATATCGTCTTTAGATATCCGCCATTTTGGACTTTTGGGGAGTTAAAAATTTTAAAATGTGACTTTTGCAAATTTCACCCTTAACTTAGTATCCCATACTACAATACTGCCAAATTACAAGTCTCTAGCACGATTCTAAACGATTCTGATGACCATAACAAAGTCATTAAATTTCAATGTTATTCTCCATAATAATAACATTGGGCTCGTAGTTTTGGGGGTCAAGGAGTAAAGTTACGAAAAAAAATTAAATGAGTAAAATTTAAAGCAAAGTAAGGGAAAAACAATAATAATATTTGCAAAAATAAATTATTCAAGTATAAAAAAATTTCGAAAACCGGTAAGAATTTTATAGAAATTTACCAAATTTTGAAAGTAGGGGGAAGCTGAAGCAGTGCGATTTTCGGGTAACGCTTAAAAGGGTTTTGTAGAAAATTTAATTCCTGTTCATGAAAAATCTTTCAAATCTTTTCTAGCTCTTACAGTTTTCGAACTATAGCCGACTGAAAAAAAACGTGTTTTGTCGTTTTCAGAGGTCCGCCATTTTGGATTTTTGGGTGTGTTAAAATTTAAAAATTGGAATTTGCAAATTTCACCATTAACTTAGGATCCATTACTAGAATACTAACAAATTTCAAGTCTCTAGCACATTTCTAAACGATTCATTTGACCATACCAAAGTCATCAAATTTCAATCTTATTCTGCATAAGAATAATATGGGGCTCGTAAAAGTGGTAAAAACTTAAGTATTTTGGGTCAAGGAGTAAAGTTACGAAATAACATGTAATGTGTAAAATTTAAAGTAAAGTAAGGAGAACACAAAGCAATATTAATATTTGCAAAAAGGAATTGTTTAAGTATGAAAAAATAGCGAAAACCGGTAAAAATTTGAAAGAAATTTACAAAATTTTAAAATTAGGGTGTTTTTTTAAGCTTAAGGAGTGCGATCTTTGGAAAACGCCTAAGAGGGTTTTGTAGAAAATTTAATTTCCTTTCGCTAAGATCCTTTCAAATCTTTTCTAGCTCTTACCGTTTTCGAGCTACATCCGGTTGAAAAAAAAGTGTTTTTTCGTTTTCAAATGTCCGCCATTTTGAATTTTTGGGGGGGTTAAAATTTGAAAATGGGACTTTTGGGAATTTCACCGGTAATGTAAGATCCCATACTACAATACTACCAAGTTTCAAGTCTCTAGCACGTTTCTAAGTGGTTCAGATGAGCATACTAAAGTCGGCATTTTTCAATGTTTTTCTCCATAAGAATAACATGGGGCGTGTAAAAGTTGTAAAAAACCTTTAAATTTTGACATTAAACCTAAGTTTTGGGGGTTAAGGAGTAAAGATACAAAAAAACATTAAATGAGTAAAATATAAAGTAAAGTGAGATTATTACAGAGCATTAATAATATCTGCAAAAAGAAATTATTTAAATATAAAAAAATAGCGAAAACCGTAAAAAATGTGAATGAAATTTACAAAATTTTGAAAGTAGGCCGTTTTTTGAAGCTGAAGGAGTCCGATTTTTGGAAAACGCCTAAGAGGGTTTTGTATAAAATTTAATTCCTGTTCCTGGATATACTTTCAAATCTTTTCTATCTCTTACCGTTTTCGAGCTACATCCGGTTGGAAAAAACGTGTTTTGTCGTTTTCAGAGGTCCGCCATTTTGGATTTTTGGGTTGGTTAAAATTTGAAAATGGGACTTTTGTAAAATTCACCGTTAATTTAAGATCCCATAGTACAATACTACGCAAAATTCAAGTCTCTAGCACGTTTCTAAACCGTTCGGATGGGCACACCAAAGTCGGACATTTTTAATGTTATTTCCCATAAGAATAACATGGGGGGGAAACCCTTAATTTCGGGGGGGTTAAAATTTAAAAATGTCACTTTTTGGAATTTTCCCGGGGGTTTGGGCACTAGACCTACAAAACACCGAAAATTTCAAGTCTCTAGCTCATCTAGAAGTGGGCTAGAATTTGTATCCCCCAGTGAGTTACATATGCGGCTGTATATATATTAGACTCGCCTTTGGCTCGCTGGGGGCTCCGCCCCCAGGCCCCCTAGCTGTTAGTCGTCATTAGCGGTGGGATGAAGGGGTGTGAATTAGTAGATAGTAGTTTAGTTGTAACAAAGAGGGTAACAAAGCAGTCAATGAAACAGTTCCCAAGAATTTACATAGATTGGGAAAAGTAGCGAAAATTGGGGGTAAAATTTTGTAAGTACAAATGTGCCACAGGGCGACAGGGTGCAAATTTCAGGATTTTTAGCTAATCTAGAAATTGGTAAACGTGATTTAGACCGATGAATCTGTGGTGGCTATAGGATAGATATAAGGGGGATTTCGAGAGGGGGGGACTTTTTAAATGGTCCTTATTATATTCATACCTTGGTGTTAGCTCTAATACAGTAAACTTTGTATAGTTTTAATAACCTTGTGCATACAGAAAAGGTAAAGAGTCTATTATTACCTCGTGAAACTGGTGAAACCTTTTAAATTTTGATATTCAACTTTTAAGTTTTGGGTGTTAAAGAGTAAAGTTACGAAAAAACATGTATGATTAAAACCGAAATTAAGCCAAGGAAAATACAAAGCATTAATAACATTTGCAAAAAGTGATTATTTAAGTATGTAAAAATAGCGAAAACCAGTAAAAATTTGAAAAATACCAATTTCTGATAGCCGTAAAAAAACGTGTTATATCGTCTTTAGATATCCGCCATTTTAGACTTTTGGGGAGTTAAAAATTTTAAAATGTGACTTTTGCAAATTTCACCCTTAACTTAGTATCCCATACTACAATACTGCCAAATTACAAGTCTCTAGCACGATTCTAAACGATTCTGATGACCATAACAAAGTCATTAAATTTCAATGTTATTCTCCATAATAATAACATTGGGCTCGTAGTTTTGGGGGTCAAGGAGTAAAGTTACGAAAAAAAATTAAATGAGTAAAATTTAAAGCAAAGTAAGGGAAAAACAATAATAATATTTGCAAAAATAAATTATTCAAGTATAAAAAAATTTTGAAAACCGGTAAGAATTTTATAGAAATTTACCAAATTTTGAAAGTAGGGGGAAGCTGAAGCAGTGCGATTTTCGGGTAACGCTTAAAAGGGTTTTGTAGAAAATTTAATTCCTGTTCATGAAAAATCTTTCAAATCTTTTCTAGCTCTTACAGTTTTCGAACTATAGCCGACTGAAAAAAAACGTGTTTTGTCGTTTTCAGAGGTCCGCCATTTTGGATTTTTGGGTGTGTTAAAATTTAAAAATTGGAATTTGCAAATTTCACCATTAACTTAG